TAAATATGTTTTAATTGATATACGATTATATGTGTTAATTTGACCTCCTTTGGTAAAGTAAATTAATTAACTAATTATAGGGATATAAAGTGTAAATTTAAAATTAAAATTTTAAAAATTTGGTGAATGTGAGAGTGTGAGTGAGGGAAAGACGTGAGGGGAGTGGATATCAACCCATATATATATATATATATATATATATATATATATATATGAAGTAATTTGTAAATAATATATAATAAATTAATATATTAGAAAATATAAAAATCTAATAATATATATATATATAATATAATATAATATAAGAATCTAAATATATATAGAGTATATTTCTTTTACAACCTTGTGCATTTGTACAACTTTTGCAACCCAATTAATTTGAGATATTTATAGAAATGATTGGAGTTTATTTATTATGATTTAAATATTTATGGAATATGAATAGAGTTTATTAATTATGATTAATACTTTATATTAGGAAACAATTAATTGATTAAAAATTGAACGGTTGAGATGAGGGTTGTATGGGGTGTAGGAATGGCAAAGGGTGTAGAATAACATTCCTATATATATATATATATATATATATATATATATAAAGTAATTTGTAAATAATATAAAAATCTACATATATATATATATAATATAAAAATCTAAATATATATTTATATATAAAGTAATTTGTAAATAATATAAAAATAATAAAATAATATATATTTTTTTAAAATGTAAATATATAAAATAAAATAAAATAAATAAAATAATTATTGAAGTGATGTTTATGGAAAAAGTTGAATGGTACAAATCCCAAGAAAAATTACATCCCTGGCACCCCCTCTTTTTTATATTTGAATGAAAAGAATATATCGATATTGCTATAACATTAATAATTTAAAAGTTCTTTTTTTCATAATTTTTTAGTTCACTTTTTTTATTACAATTTATTTTAGGTTCAATAATAAAGTAATTTATTTTACGTTAATTTTTTTATAAAATTAATAATTAAGTATTCTACTAGAACTCAATGATTATTTTAATTATATTTTATTTTACTTATTTTTAAAATGAGATGTTTATCCTGTATTTGATTGTGTTTATCTGCAGTTAGTTAGACGAATTCAACTATGGAGCTTTAATAAGTTATATTTGTACTATATTATAAAGTATTTGACAAAAAAACACTTAAAAGACATTTTTTATGCATCAAGTACTGTTGATTGATTCATATTACTTAAATTTTAAGATTACAAGTAGTTATGCATAAGTATAACTAATAAAAGCTCTATTTTAATTTCGTGTAACTAACTGTAGATAAACATAATCAAATACATGATAAACATCTAATTTAAAATATAAAAAATCTATAATATAATTAGGATAATCATTGAGTTTTAACATAACACTTAATTATTATCTTTATGAAAAATTATATTATTAAACCGAAAATAAATCACCATGTCATTAAATCTAAATTAAATTATAATAAAAGGTTAAATTAATGAAATTATATAAAAAATATGAATTTTTAAATAATTAAAATAATACTAATATCGATATAAAATTTTAAATTCTTATGAGAGATTCAAATTTATATTTTATTCAAATACAAAAACATTGTCGTTTTATCAAAATCATATAAAACCGTGTTATACTATCAACAGAGACAAAATAAAAACAAAAGATTAAAATCAAAATATATCGCACTAGATTATGCGAGTATCCTTCTAATTTATATTTAATCAATTTATAATTTTGAATTTTAAATAATATATATTAATAATCGATAGTTAAAAGATATAAAATAGTTTTGAAAATAATATTATGAATCCTCTATAATTTAGTATAGATAAAAAAAAAATCAGCCCGTTGTGAATAAAATAAAATAAAATAAATACAATTTTTTTTAATATTCAATAAAGTATAATTTATAATTAATAATATTAAAAATGAATAAAAACAACCACTAAAATTATGAGAACAGCTAATCCCCCTTTTTGGGAAACTCAATAATATTTACCCTTTTTTTTATTTATTGCAATCGATTGGTGATATTGTCACCTAATATAATGTTATAAGTTACCAATAATTAAAGTTTAAACAGTGACGGATTTAAAAAATTAATAAGGTGGAGACATGTTGGATGGGACTTGGGGGAGACAAGCATATGGTCATATGAAACTGCGGGAAACCATGTAAGACGAGGGTAAAAATAAAAAATTTAAGCTAGTCAATAAACGTTTTTAGTCTTTGACTGTGGATCTTTCCCCCAGTCCTTGAGGGCTAGATCCGCCCCTGAGTTTAAGTCGATTTCAAAATTATTCGATCAGTATCCACCTTTATGCTATGAGGTGTTACACAGCAGAACTTCCCATAAGTTGTCTACACACTTCACAATCACATCTTAAAACGATTAAATATCTGAATGTTGTTATCATCATTTTTATATTTGATCATTGCCAATATCGACGTCAATTTCAAAGTTATTGGGTGTTGAAATTGAAGAAAGATTACAAACAATAACGTTCAAATGCTTGTTATTTTAATTTTTTTGTAAATACTCAAAACCAGGGCCGGCTCTGGCCACCTGCAGCCCGTGCGGCCGCACAGGGCATCAACGCTTAAAGGGGCATCAAGTTGTCATTTATAACTAGTTTTGGGTTTAATAATTTGGGAATTGGATAATTGGCTTTAACTATAAAAACAAACTCAACCCTAGTAGTGATGCATACTTAATGCACGTCGTGGAAAAAGTTGGAAAAGTTTTTGTTTAAGAGAGTTTTTTCGCAGATGTAATGAGCGTTTTTTTAGTTGGAAGGGACATGTTTGGATAAAAAATTGGCTTTTCATATAAAGCTCCCCCTATTGAATAAATCACTTTCTATATCATTAAGCCACTACGAAACAGTCATGCATAGTTGAGCTAATAAGCTGTTAGTTCCATTAAACGTATTAAGTTGCTAACGATAGGCCCTTAGCCTTTAGTCATTAGACCTGTAACTTTTGAGTTTTACTTTTTGCTTATTATGACAATAACTTGGATGTAATTTACTATCTTAGTTAAAAACTAATTATAATTTTCTTTGTCTTTTAAGTCCCATATATTAAAATACAGTTTTTATTTTGCTAATTTTAAATAGGAAAAGGGAAAACTGGAAAAGAATGAAGCACCATCTTAATCTAGGATTTATCCTTTTATCATTTATATTTTGTATTCGGGGTTTTGGTTTTTATATTCCCCTCATTATATTTTTTTTATTATAATTAATAAAAATCAACATGGGAATGAGATACTTAGCTTGAATAAGTTTATAAACTCTTTAAAAAAATCAAATGTTTCGTTGTTTCATTGGCTTAAAAAATAGAGTTAGGGGCATATTTTATTATTTTCGCACAAGGGATCAAAAATCTTAGGACCGGCCCTGCTCAAAACACAATTGTTAAAAAAAAAACAGTTAACGACATAATTCTTTCTTAAATGATTATTTATGTACCGAAAAATACTTACAAAGCCTTCTCAAAACAATTTTTTGAGTCGGAGATTTTAGCAAACTAGTTTTTTTACCGGGAAAATCACCAAAATAACCATTTTACGTAAACGTAATTAACAAAATGACCATTTTTCACATATTTGTAAAAATGACAAGTACTTTCGCTAAAGTATCTCGTCAGCTTGGTGAATTGCTTACATTGGCCCCACTTGTCATAAACAGTCAGGATTCCTCCATGCATTTAGCCAACTTAGAAGATTCTAATGGGTTTTTGGCAAAAAGAAAAGGGGACAAGTGAGAACAATATAAGGAATTCACCAACCTGACGAAATGCTTTTGCAAAAACTATGGTCATTCGGCAAATACGTGAAACAGTGGTCATTTTGTTAATTACATTACATATATCAGTGATATTGGTGATTTCCCCCTATTTCACTATCTGGGGTAGATGATGTATTATGTATTTATCATAAATTTCTAAAGGTTACTTTTGAATTTTGAGTGGGGTATTAATCTTTTGGTATATTTGGTTTGGTTTACGTCAAGATCTATCTATTTCTATTTCTATGACTCATTGTAGGTTGTTAGAAGTCGGTTTCATCGATTTGGTCAAACATACAATAACTAATTGTATATAAAATAGGGGTGTGCATCGTGCGGGTCAGACGAGTTCGGGTGGGAAAATAATAAACCCGATCAGATTTTGGATATGGAAATCAAACCCCAATTTTTGGATTTCGGGTTGAGGGTTGAGGTCAAATTCTTATTCGGTTTAATCTGTTACCGAACAAAATAACCTAAATATACATTAAACCAAACTGTATTTAGTTTGATTATCTGTTAGTTTTGAAAAATTGAAAACCAGTTAATCTAAATTAATTAACCAAAAAAGTGATTAACCGACCGAAAAACGAATATTTTAACCATTTATACACGTTAGAATTCAATATCAACAATTGGCTAAGTGCCAAAACATGTACTCGTACGATGTCGTCTCGGTAAGGGGATTATTTTTTTTATTTTTTGATAAATAATAAAGAGTAAATTACATTTTTAGTTCGGTTTGTCAAAAATTATGTTGTTCATGTGGTTTAAAAATTGCAACTTTTTATTTTTATTGTTATTTTTGTTCTTATGATTTACAATTTAGTACTGTTTCAGTCTACGCGGTTTATAACTGTTTTGGTCACATGTACTTTAAAGTAGAAATTATTCCAGAGAAGAAAATAGCAATAAATTGTAAATTATAGAGACAAAAAATACAATTTCTAAACCATATGGACGAAGATAAAAATTATTAATAAATCATAGGGACTAAAACCATAATTTACTTAAAATATCATACACTCTAATTAGGTGTCACTTAAAATATTAAAGATAATACTTTATTTATATTATATATCATATTTAATTATGCAATTATTTTAATTTTTTAAGTAATATATTTTATGGAAATTACAATGTATTTTGGTTGTTAAATAGTTAAATATATTTAAAAGAATTAATTAAAATATGACATTAAAAAACTCTTTATTTATTCAAGGAAATTGTTAAATTACAATAATGTCCTTTATTAAAATAAAGATATTACCATTTATATATTAAAATATTTAAAATGAGGATATTTCCATTCGACTGAAGAAAACCCCAGAAGGACTATTGTTAGGCAACAAAGCAACCATTACAGGTGCTCTTGCACCTTCTTCTGGGGTTAAATGTCCTGTGTCAGATGTGATATCTGTTATCACATAACCTGGATGGACACAGTTGACAAGGATATTTGAAAACTTTCTTGCTAGAAGCCGTGTGTAAGCATTCATTGCGGCTTTTGAAACCTTATAAGCACCAACAGTCAGAGGCCAACCATTTTCCGACAACTTATTGGCCTTGAAGTCCTTCAAAAACCGTTGAATGATTCCATCAATCTTCTCCTCGGTGAGATTGTCGATATCTAGGAACTCTGCTTTCACCTTCTCATTGTGAATCCACTGATAAACAAGAAGACGAAATGAAATATGTGTTTATTATTTCTAAATGTACGGAATTTTCGTAGTTTTGATGAATTACTTACTTGTAGCTCTCCGTAATTTGAAGAAACGTTCACGATTCTCGGAGAACTAGAAAGTTGGAGAAGGGGAAGAAACGCTTCCGTTACTGCTTTAGCTCCATAGTAATTCGTTTTTATACATTCCTCTCCCAAATTGTAAGGCTGTTCTATAATCCCAGTTAAAAGATGTGCATTCTTGTCATACACTTCCTCCTAAACAAACCATACATAAAAGTCAATTTACCTCGTAACAAATTAAAAACAATAACCAAAAAATCTTTTGGCCTAACGGTATGTGAGTCTTTGGTCTCCTAGAAGGTCAGAGGTTCAAACCTCACCAAATGTGAGAAAGGTGTGTGAGTTTATTTGTTCTATTTACCGTATATAAATGTTATATATACTTTTAAAAAAATACATAAAAAAATCAAAACAATCATGGTGTGTATGTACTTACATATCCTGCTCCATCTTTGAAGGCTCTGAAAGCATCATAATTCACAATTATTCCATTTTCTGCAGCATTATTCACCTGAACAGAATTACATTTTTAGTATCTATTTATTTGTTTTGGAACGACAACTAATTTGGTAGATTATATGTCAACAAGACTTCCTCCACTCACCAAGATATCGAGTTTCTTGAACCGGGATTCAACGAATTCGGCCAATCGAGCAACACTTGCCGGATCTTTCACGTCAAGTTGATGAAAAACAACGTCTACACAACCAGAAACATTAAGCTTTTCGACAGCTTCAACACCCCGGCTTTCATTCCTAGCGGTTAGTATGACTGTAATGTCGTTTAAGGCCAACTGGCGACATATCTCGAGTCCAATACCTTTGTTTCCACCGGTAACAATTGCAACTCTAAAAATCAAAACTACCCAAAATCAAACTCCTCAAATACACAATATCAATGAAAAACTCAACACGTTGTTTAGATGATCATTTAATATACCTTTTTTCAGTTGACGCCTTTTCTGTTGTCGATGCCATGATTACTTGCGGTCTGCAAATCCCCTGTCGAACTTATATCAACGATTAATATATAATATAAAAATCTTGAATTCAAATCAGACACGAAATTACCAAAATGTAGACCATTCCATTTTCAACCAAGTGATTACATTTTTTAAGTTTCAATAATTGTAGACCATTCCATCTTCAACCAAGTGGTTACATTTTTTAAGTTTCAATAATTGTAGACCATTCCAATAATTGTAGACCATTCCATTTTCATAATATTTATTATATTTCCAGATTCGTTATCTTTTATTGGGTCTACTGAGATCTACAACTATAGTTATTTAATCCGTTAAATTCCCAAAATGTAAATTCAAACAATTTATAGGGACTAAAAGTGAAATTTTGGTTATTAATGTTTGCAGGATATCATTTTTGAATTTTAATAGCTCGGATTTAGGGGTAAATGCTTACTTGGTAAGTGTTTAATGTTAGAAGTTAATACTTATAATTTATTTTATTGGGTAAGATTGTAGTATATCAAAACATATATTATACAACAATTAACCTGGTAAGCGCTTACCCGGGTAAGAATCATCACCCTCACTTACCGGGTAAGATTCTTGGTCCTTGCCATGTTCATCTAGTGAGAAAAATTATTCGGTAAGTACTTACAGGGTAAGTATTTAGTAAACGACCACTTAGTCTCTATTTATGTCTCTGTTTGTTTTGAAAGAATGGAATAGATTTGAGGGATTTGAATTTCAAGTCATTTTTTATTTCATGTTTGATTTGTTGGATTGTCTGGATTTAAAATACTAGGATTTAATTAAAATCTTATAAATACAGGGGGTGTTCGGAATTTCACGGGATTTCGAAGAATTGTATGGAATAAGGTTTTAGAAAATAATTAAAACATTTATTTTGTAATAATCAATTAATAAAAAATATAGTTTAACTATTTTTATAATTTTTTTTACTAAGATTACTTTTATAGTTATTTATAATTTTTATATAAATAATGGAATTTTCCATTTCAAATCCCACAAATCAAGCACCTCAATGATTTCAAATCCATGAAATCTAAATCCCTCAAAAATAATGGACGATTTTTAAAACAAAATATAAACAGTAGGGATGATAATGATAAATATTGAAGTTTAGGTACCAATATCGATCGTTATTTCTTATTTTATTCCACTACTTTCATTAGGGGTGCTCAAAAACCCGGCCAACCCGATCAACCCAACTCAACGCGAAATAACTCAACCCGAAGCAAACCCGATGTCTAATCGAGTTGTAAAATCGTCAAACCGTAGGTATTGGGTTGATATTGGGTTACTATTATTTGAACTCAATCCAACTTGATGAACCTGATATCCTTTTATTTCTTGGATTTAATATGATTGTTGAATTTCTATTAATATATACATTAGACAATTACACTATCATGTATGTTTTTCATATACAAATATTTTCAATCTATTCATATCTCTATATAACTCATTCAGTAACTGTGAACATATATATGTAAATTGAGAAAATTAACTGAATGTGATATACGTAAGAAATATGAACAAGTTATATCAAATGGTTGATAATGAAAAAGAAATTATAAGTAGAGAAATAACATATTCAAGGTTAAAAGAATATTTTAATATATCAAAGTATTAACTCGACTAACCCGACCAACTCGTACGGTTTTGAGTTGTACTTTGGTTTGGGTTGGGTTGAGTTAAGATTTTTCAAAACCGTAAAGATTGAGTTGGGTTATTCAAATGTCCTCAACCCGATCAACCCAACCCATGAGCACCCCTAACTTTCATTATTAAAACCGTGTTCCACACTTGTATCGACATAACTTCAAAAAAACACAATGATTATACTTTGTTTTCATCGACGCGCTAATGAACCATGTACCCCCCTTGGTATGATATTACAAATTCTTGCATCGTAAATTCCAAAATCTCAAGATTTCATGGTATGATATTACAAATTCTTGCATCATAAATTCCAAAATCTCAAGATTTCATATCACAATAATTGCAACATTTGACGTGTACCTTAGTTAACAAAGGGATAGAACGACTTTACCCAAATACAAAACAGGTCTCGTGTTCGATCCTTAACCCCATTTTAGCCTCAACCACTAAATGAGTAAAAAAATATCTCTGATATTAGTGTCCTTAGAGACGGGTTCTATGTGATGTTAGTTAGGGTTCCCGATAATCTACCTTTTTACCCAAATATGACAATGATTACGATTATGTTACCGATTTTATTTATTTTATTTTTTGTAAAAGTAATAACAATAAGTCATTTGACTTTTCAAGTACGGCAATTCCAATACCATACAAACAATATGCGAGTTGCATAAGAAATTGCAAGAATTATTCGTATTAAAATGTCGATTCTTGAGTTGTCCAAAAGTATCGACCCGAGGGCCCGCCATCGGACATTAACGCCACCCGCACAGGACCTCTGGCACCTTCTTCAACGGTAGAAGTTCCTTGAAAAAAGGTCATATCTGTCGCAACAAAACCAGGACTAACAACGTTTGCACATATAGACGGATAACTTTTGGCTAAAATCCTTGTGTACGCATTAAGAGCCGCTTTGGAAATGGTATAGCCAGAAACATTACTAGACCAACCTTTCTTTTCCAACGATTCCTGATCTTTAGCGTCGTTTAGATAGTCACTCACAACCCCATCCACGAGCTCCTCCGTTAGTCCATCAAAGTCGCATAAAATCTTTTTTGCACTTTCATCTTGAACATTCTATAAGGACATAACATGACCGTGAAACACTCATTACGATCAAATCAGGTTTATAGAACGCCACAAATCTCTAAAGACCTGTTTGGTCCGAGTGATTTTGATTTTGTGGAAGGATTTAGAATTTAAAATTTTGGAATCTTGATGTGTTTGATTTGTAGGATTTGAAATGGAATTGAATTCCACTTTTTATAAATAATTTATACAAAACAAAATTATAAAAAAATTATACAACAATTAAATTAACTTTTTATTTAAATTATTACTACAAAACAAGTGTTTTCAACATATTTTTAAAACATTATCACTAACAAATCCTACGAAATACTGACTACCCCATGGGGTTTCAAAATCCCGTGTTTCTGGACTTCAACGAAATCCAGGGATTTTACGAATCCATACAATCGGGTAAGATTTTTTGTCCATAAAAACGGCATCTTTTACAACTATTTACCCGGTAAGCACTAACTGCCAAGTGTCATCATCCTTACTTACATGGTAAGACCATCGGTCCTCGCCATTGCTCTTACCAGGTAAGATTCTCGGTGTTTGTCATATTCATCCGATAAGGTAACATGACTTGGTAAGCACTTATCAGACAACGGTTTGTTAAACAGCCCATAAATGTCGTATTATTTGCTTGTATTTTATGCATAAAAAGTTGTACTTAACATAAGAAGAAAATATTATCTTACCTCTAGTTGCCCCAATTTGGATGAGATGTTGACAATTCTTGGAGAGCTAGATTTAAGAAGAAGTGTCAACAAAGCTTGAGTCACATTTTTAACGCCATAATAATTGGTTTCCAAGCATTTTCGAGCTCCTTCAAACGTTTGTGTTACAGCTACCCTCGACTTCTTCGCCTTTTCATCAATTACCTGAATCAAACGATTCGATTAGCAATCATTTCTTCAAAATAATCTTATTTACAAACATGTAACACTTTAAGCCTAAAGCAACATACTGATCCAATAACCTTCGGGGGTGTTTGAGATTGCTTATTTGAAACAACTTATGATTTTTTACAAAAGCACTTATCAACTTATTATAAGTCAGAAGGGTTTAACTTCTTCAAAAACTCCTTATTACCGGTATAAGTTGTTTATCCAAACACTCAAATCTGCTTATTACCAGTGTCACACCGGAATAAGTCAATAAGTTGTTTTGTTAAGCAATCCCAAACACCCCCTAAATCTATCTTAAAACCATAATGTAAGTTATTGGTAGCCCACAACTTTGATCTGTAGCTCACAAATGTAACTTTTTTATCTATATGGGACGAGTTGTTACATCATTTATAAACATATCCGAGGTAATTCACTCAGTAATACCAAATTGGCGAATTTATTTGAGAAAGAAAAACCAAAATATGGTTTAAAAAATTGGTAATTTATTTTTCTATCCTTAACAAAACAAGGTTTACCTCAGATGGAAGGTTTAAACTCCAAAACAACTCCTTGTCGACGATTGTACTGGCGACTCCAGCATTATTCACCTGTTTCATTAATCCACAAGTTGTAACACATACTTTCTTGCATACTGCAACCATATCATCGGAGTTTATTACAAACATATTATGCATGATTTAATTTAACTACTTATGATAATGGAAATTCAACATTATCGCTTACTTACCGAGTAAGATTTTATTCACTAAAACGCATCATATGCAACAATTTATCCCGGTAAGCGCTAACCATGGTAAGAGTCATCGTCCTCGCTTACTGGGTAAGACACTCAATTCTTGTATTCGCTCTTACCGGGTAAGATTTTTAGTCCTTGTCAGATTCATCCGGTAAAGTAAAGTGACTTGGTAAGCGTTTACCCGGGTAGGCGTTTGGTAAACGGCACCTTGTATAAAATCTTGAAATATTTTATACGCTATCAGTCTCGCATCGTGTACCAACCTAAGGGATGATTGCAAACCATTGGACTGTTAAAGGAGCAAATATTTGGTTGGGATTTTAGCCTCTCTGCAAAGTAGTTCGGTTACAGGTCCAAGTTATGAACCATTTGTATTCAAATTTTCATTTCCAGTTTCATTTTCAAGACCATTGCAAGTAAAATGGTTATAATCTGACTACATTTTCCCAATTACAGAATGACCTAATCGAGTTAAATCCTGAAATCCATTACACCATGTTTATCATGCAAGCAGAAATTGTACTGGACAACCAATCACAAATATTATAACTACTTTGAAAATGAAATCGAGCTTCAGATCATTACCAATATGTCGAGTTTTCCGAACTGAGCATCAATGAAATTCGCCAAGGAAGCGATACTGGCCGGGTCTGTGACATCGAGCTGATGAAAAATGACGTCTGGTAAACCGGAGGAGTGCAATCCGGCGACGGCATCAACACCCCTCTTCTCATCTCTTGCGGTTAGAACCACCAGAACTTCATCAGCTAACTGCCGGCATATTTCTAAACCAACACCTTTGTTCCCTCCGGTGACAACAGCAACCCTAGAAGTTGAGCAACAGATCTATCAAACAAAATTCAAAAGCAAGATTGTTGAATTCAAAGATTTAAAACTTGATTACCTTTTCGTTGTTGATGCCATTTTCTCTCGATTTCAATTGATTTGCTGCTTGGTTCGAGTGTCATGTTGGTTAATAAAATAAGGTGAAGTTCATGTTTCAGTAGATTACAAATTTAGTCCCTAAAGTTTAATTGTATATCAATCAAGTCCATTAACTATAAAGTTGGCATATTTTACTTGGCCACCAAGTCTACATGTTAGACTTCGCTACCTCGAAGCTTTACTTGGTCCCCGATCCCCACTCCACTTGTATCTGATCCGTTTATCAAATGCTTATCAGTTAAATGTTATAATAGTTTAAATGTAAGATTTTTATAAATAAAGTGAAGTGGCTTGTAAAAACTATTATTGTAGAGAGTTCTTGTACAAAAACTTTAGTTCTTACCATGAAGTTTGTGTGAACTGTGAAATGACAATTTCCTAATTTTTTATATATTTTATTGATTTTATATTAATTGTTGATGTTGAAAAAAATACATGAGACCTATAAAAATGGGGTTTTTATAAGAACTATCATTGTGGACTTTTATGTGAATTCTTAATTTGATGAGTTGAAAGTGAAGTATCAGCAAAAAAAAGTGCAAAAATAAGGTTTTTATGAGAACCTCTGTTGGAGATGCTCTTATTAATGTTATGTGGTAACTGGTAAGAGTCATATTAAGGAATGGAAATATTATCCGGTAAATTAGGAGGGAAACTCTTACCCACAGGGTAAAAAACATTTACCAACAATCTGACTTAATAACAGAGTGTTACCCGATAAGGTAAGAAAGAATGGTGACTCTCGTCTGCAAGCGTTTATTAATGACTCTTAAATTCTACCTCCATTTTGGTATTTGTTTCTATATGTATTACAAATTCTATAAAATGCAGAGTTATTTTTTTAAGACTTGTGTTTTTATTATTTTTATGGTCGGAATGATATCTAATTTAACTTGTGAATGTTTTATGTTGCATTTATTTCCATTTATTATCCGCTTTATGACAACGTCATATTTAAAACCGAACTTTTTGATATGTTTAATATTACTGGTTTATTTTGTGATATTCAACAAATCCATATACCTTTTAACAATTTTCCCAAGAGTAAAGTTGAATGAAAAGCATAGTACAGAAGTTGTAAGGTTGCCACACGAAATGTACCGTTGTGGGCCCCTATATTTTTTAAAATCAAAGTTATGACAGCTGTTTTGCGATGGGTAAGTTGAAGTAAGTCATTGGATTAAGGTTTCTTGTTTCAGTAGACGTCTCTTCGTATCCTGCTTTCAGAAAACATCCGTTTATTTATCTTTTGGTTTTTGATTTCTATGCCCTTTGGTGAAAAAATTGGAGGAAAGTCAGAGGAGTCGAACCCATGACCTTCCTTTGCGAAAGCAAACTAATATACCACGAATTAGGAAAAGTAATCTATAACTCTCACGTTTTATGGTTAAATTGTACGTTTGGGAAAAAATCTAGATATGTCTCTGGGTGTTTAGCACTCAGTTAAATTCACTTTAGTCAAAAGAAGAGTTTGATCCTGGCTCAGAAGGAACGCTAGCTATATGCTTAACACATGCAAGTCGAACGTTGTTTTCGAAGAGCTGGACAGAAGGAAAAGATGTTAAAAGCTTGCCTTTAAAAATAATCAATTATCATTAGTTGGTGAATAAAGCCACGTAGAGACCTAAGTTTCAAGCAAATGTGTAAGAGGTTGTTTGTTTACCTCTTAATAGTTCTATTAAAAGACAATTTCTGAATTGTTAAGAAGTAAATCTTGTTTGGCAAAAAAAAAAATTATGTCTCTTAATGGTTCTAAAATCCTTTGAATGATTTTGTATCATGAGTCTTTCTTAACCATTCAACGCCTAATTTTATTGTAAACAATTATCAAACAATTATATTTAATTTTGCACTATATCATGAGAGTCTCTTAATCATTATGACCACTTAATCATTCAGCAACTACCAAACAACCCCTAAGTTGCCTTGTTTCAAACCAAATAAAACTAATATCGTAGGTTCGAATTAGGCTTGCTATTCATATGTGATTCCTTCTCTAATCACGTGATGAATCAATGACAAATCAAATGTCTAAAGTATGGATTATGTATTATTTTCTTTTTCATGGCAACTTTATGTTATCCTTAAATTATTAAATATGGTCTAATGGAAGTATCACATAAATGTTACAAAATGCAAATTTCATAGTATAGATAGTTATGTTCTAACATGAACTATCAATATTATTTTGTATTAATTTTTATCCTTGATAATAAAAAACATACGACAAATGCAACAAATAAACTCACACATCTTCCTAGAAAAGAGATATAATCTCATCTGCTTGGCTGGTCGACACAAGCATCCATATACACCGCCAAAGAAGTCTGGCGTAAAAGGACCATACCGCAGCAACGATTGTCGCTCGATCGAAATGGGTCTAATCTTGATATGGGTATTGGCGTCTTTTTTGTGAGGTTTGAATCCCTGATCTCCCAAGAAACTAGAGACTACGATACGGTTAGGTCAAAGACCCTTGGGTGTGTTCTTTATACTTGTTAGAACCCTTTTAAACAACTATATCAAACCCATTGAATCTTTCTTTTTAGTTTGAAAAAACCTACATATGAAACCCTTCTTAAAATTTATCAATCTCATGTCCAATGTATATGAAATAAACTTTGTTGGATAAATCAAAAATCAGTATAACAAAGTCTCATGTTCATATTATATGTCTAACTGAATCGCGTTTAGTCAGAAGTATATATCTGTACACTAAGTGAAGTATCACAAATTATACGTATTTCAGTTGGTTCAACGACTGAGTTAGATAAAAAAATATCAAAATTGGGAAAATCATAATCAAATAATTTCAACAACTATCTATGCCTTCTTGGTGAAAATTTCATCTCAATATCAATTGAGTGGCCAAATGAGTACATGATTGATGATTCATGCCCCCATTGAAAACCCCACATGAAAAACATGTACTGTAAATAACAAATGTCAAAACTTGAAGGACCGAAATTGTAAATTAACAAAACGATCAACCTGCAAAAACCTCAAAAACCTTAAACCCTAACTTCATGCTTCTTCACCACCAAAAATGTACTCATCAATAATCTTTCTAGAACGTTCTAGGATGTTCGATCACAATGTTCTCCACCGTCTCACTCTCCTCCGCCACATGGGCGGCGGCCCACGGACATTCCCCGGCGGCCTGAACAAATGGCAATGGAAACGCCTCCATGAAAAGCAAGCTAGGCAGAAGGAAAAACGGCTTCTTGATCAAGAGAAACAGCTTTACCAGGCGCGGGTTCGATCCGAGATTCGTTCCAAAATCGCCGATGATTCATTGAAACATGAGCAGCATACCAATTCACCAAATTATAAGCCCTTATCCCCTAAAGAACACATCAAAGTCCTAGCGGATCGTTTCATGAAAGAAGGAGCTGAAGACTTGTGGAACGAAGCTGATGGACCAATCAGATCTTTTTCCCCACAAGAAATAGCCAGAACTGAATCGAATCACAATCCAATTAATTTGCGGCGAGTGATTTCGGGTCAAAATCATATAGCGAGTAATCAAGTAGGTGAAGTTTCTTCGGGTTTTAGTTATAATCAGTTGAAACCTAGGCATTTTTCGATGTATCTATGTTCAGATAATCAATATAGTTTGTTGAGAGCCAAGCACTATTCAGTTAGGACTTCTAGATCTAGCTATAGGAAAAATGATAGCTCCTCGAGTGAAGAAGATGGTACGGACAATGAGGAGGGTTTTTTGATGACGAAGACGAAGGTTGGGGATCTAAGTAGGCCACGATTGAGTTTAATTGGGTCATCGGATGGCGAGGGGAGCGATGATGACGATGGGAAGGGAAATGGGAAGAAGACGATGATGAGCAGTGCTGCATTGGGGAAGTATGATATAAAGAAGACAAAACGGATTCCATTGAAATTCTTGGAGGAGGAGGATGACTTGTCTCTGCACATACAGGCTATTCGGAATGAGTTCAATAAGAGGCGTATGGCTGAAAAAGACGACGGAGTGGGCGATGAAGACTCAATCCTTTGTCCAAAGAGGTTTGTTTTTGGGGTGTTCTTGATGTGTATATGCTTGCAATGTGTTTCATTTATACCGTTGTGTTCTTGTAATTGAACTGCTAAAGTTTATAATGTATAAATTATGGTAAATCTTAATGATAATAAGACTACATCCTTTAAGCTCTGCGTTAACTCTGTTTGCAGGTTTGATGAGTGCAATGTATCCCCATTGACAATCAAGGCTCTTACTTTAGCAGGTTATGTGCAAATGACCAAGGTTCAAGATGCTACAATGTCTGCTTGCCTTGAGGGTATGAGTTCTGTTTGTGTGATTTTTTTCTGCATTTCATGCATTAATATTTATTAAGGTATTGGCCTTTCTATGGGATTTTTTACTGTTGGAGATTATTCGGCACGATCTTAACAGAATCCAACTTCTGAAGTAATGGATAATTTGTCTTTTTACCTTTGTGTATAGAGTGGATTTTGACTAGTTTGCATGCTTGTGATGTTCTTATGTACTTTATCTTTGAAGGAGAGGGATTGATTTGAATTTTTGATCATTGAGGAATCTTCTCTTTTAAAGAGAATTGAAAGAAGCACTGGATGGTCGCAACTGTTCTGTGGTATAGCCAACGAAGATGATGATCATATATAGAGAATTGGTGTATGCCTACAAAAAAATTGATCCATGAAGTTTTATAACTCATCTAAATAAATTCCATCTAATCCCCTTATGGACTACCTAATCTTGGGTAAAATGAATAACTGCGACTTCAGTCTTTTTCAATCTAACCATCATTAAGTATATCAACCAAGTGCAAAATGATCTCCCTTCTAGTGTACCTAATATGGTACTGGAATGAATATGATTATATGATCTCCGTCAGACATATCTTATACTTTAGCTAGTACATGAAAATGTTTATGATGATTCTTCAGTCCATCAATAACTGCAAGCTTGCATGGTGGTACGAAGAAGTGGACCATTATCTAGGCCAATAATGAACCAAACTAGCATTTACTGGGAAATGGGAATCCCTCTGTAAATCCGTTAGATAGTCTTGCATTGCCACAGGAATTTTAGCAAATACGGGTCTTCTCATCATTTCTTCTCATGTACCTGCAGTAGCATTTAAGTAGTGCCCTCTGATATCACCGTTCAGCTTGGTTATAAGAAGTATCTGAGAAAATAAAAGATACAGATCAGGCTAGCTCTTAGTATTGTAGTTAAGGAAAGATCCATGCATTTGCAAATAACGCTTCTGCAAGCCAATATTTGTTTCATGCTTACGTGCTGAGGCTATCTTTTGGTTATTTATAAATATTTTGCAACTGGGTAATGCATCTCAGTTTCTTTCTAACAGGCAAGGATGCTTTAGTCAAAGCTAAAACTGGAACTGGGAAAAGTGCTGCTTTTTTGGTACCCCCAAAGCCCCTTCTTGTTTTAGTCCAACATGTTGCTTTCTTGCACTTCTCTTTTCTAGTTATGCAATGTTGTTAAACACAAACAGCTTCCCGCAATTGAAACAGTTTTAAAGGATTCAATTAAGAATGCGGCACAGCGGGTTCCACAGATATGTGTTCTTATTCTGTGCCCCACAAGAGAGTTAGCAAGTCAGATAGCTGCAGAAGCCAATGTATTGCTCAAGTACCATGATGGAATTGGTGTACAAACTCTTGTTGGAGGTACTCGATTTAAAGTTGATCAGAAACGTTTAGAAACAGAACCATGCCAGGTATGCAAGTCTATTTACTCATCATTACATGTGATAATGATTCGGTTGTACAAACTGAACTATCCTTGTTTCAATTTTTCATGATGGCTGTCACCATGTTACACAGCTTCCTATATAGAATCTTTACTTTATAATATATAGAACTAACTAGAATTCATTGGCAGGATGTCTTTGTGATTTAAGTTTTGCAGATTATTTAATTGTATAATCGTTTTCTTATGCAGATTATTATAGCAACTCCTGGTAGATTGCTGGATCACATTGAGAACAAGTCTGGATTCTCTGCTCGTTTGATGAGATTGAAAATGCTTATACTTGACGAAGCAGACCATTTACTAGACCTCGGATTTCGGAAGGACATAGAGAAAATTGTCGATTGTCTACCTCGTCAAAAGCAATCTTTACTCTTTTCTGCAACCCTTCCAAAGGAGGTTAGCATCTTCCCTCCGATTTGTTTGCGTTATATTGAAAATGACCTTTCTTCTTAATAGGTAATGCATAAGCTTTTGATTTCACTATCTCATAATCCTGATTGCTCTCTTGCTGTTGGTACAATTTGCAGGTTCGGCGAGTATCTCAACTTGTTTTGAAAAGGGAGCATGCATATATTAATACTGTCGGGCTAGGTCCAGAAACACATGATAAGGTGTGTAATGGTTCTAGCTTTGACCAATTTCTAAATGGGTTGGCTTGTCATTGCTATAAGAGCTGATCATTTGTGGGCTTGGGCTGGGCGGGGCCGAGGCCGAGGCCGGTCCTAATCTGTTCTTCTTGTCCAACGGACCTAATATGGCAAACCCAAGCCCTTTTTTACATGCTCAAAAACTTGCCCATACCCGCCCAATAAATGGGCCGGGATTGCCTACGGCTAATAGGCCTAAAAATCTATTTACATTTTTAAGAAAACAAAACTTATATAAAATCACAAGTTATGTAAAATAATTCAAAATACAAAACAACTTTTCCAACTTAAAATTAGACTCATATACATAACAATGTAAATGTTTTAGAAAAAGAAGTTGTGTTTTTATTTTTTAGATTTTTAAAGAGTGTTATTATCATGTGTCATAATTAAGTGGGAATTGATAAGTATCAAGAATTTTTAATTTTATTTGTATATTTTAATTATAAAAGTTAATTAATATAGAAATATTAATCGGCTGGGTGGGCCTGTCCAAAAAAAATTCCATCGCCCATGCCCGCCCATTAATTTTAACAGTCAGTCATGGCCCGTTCATTTTTTCGAGAACGTATTCCAAGCCCGTTTTTTCTAGCGGGTCGGATAGGACGGGTCTAGTGGGCTGTCCTGCTCGTGACTGGTTCTATATTGTTTTCTGCTGCAAGTTTGAACATTTCTAGTGTTCTTTTTCCAATGCTAGGTCTTCTATTCAAAATCTTATGATTTTGGGTATTCTTGCAAGGAACTAGTTTTGATGTTTAGCAATGGCTTCTTTGCTCATTGATGTAGGTTAATCAATCTTATGTTATTGCACCACATGAACAACATTTTCAAATAGTCCACCATTTGTTGAAGGAGCATATTGCTCAGGTCCCCAATTATAAGGTATGATCCATTTCTGGTGCTATAAATGATTCACATATGAAGTTTGTAGTAAATGTTGAACTTAGAATGGCATTTTATTATTTCTCAGGTTATTGTCTTTTGTACCACAGCAATGATGACATCGCTCATGTTTTCCCTTCTCCGTGAGATGAAAATGAGCGTGAGAGAGATTCATTCTAGAAAACCACAACTCTACCGAACTCGTGTTTCTGATGAATTCAAGGAAGCAAGACAGCTAATTCTAATTACGTCTGAGGTGTCGGCCCGTGGAATGAATTATCCCGATGTCAGTTTGGTAATTCAGGTAATAAGAAATAGCTATATATTATAATTTACATTGTGTAGATTTGATTCATACAGCTCCCTTTCAAATGAAAGTATTACTCTCTGCATCCCAAAATAAGTGTTCAGCCTAATTTCCAATTATACCGTTAATAATGAGATGGAGATATTCATTACGTCCTCTATAATCAAAAGGTAAAGTTGTCATTCCGTTGCTTAAAGAGTGTATAATTAGGGTGTGATCATACCAGCACTAAGAGCATCTCCAACATCTATGCTAAACTATAGATTTTGGAGACAACTATGCTATATTGTATGCTAGAATAGAGAAAAAAGCGGGTAGAAATCTCCAAATTTGGAGAAATCTCTAAAACTCCATACATAAAGGAGAGAAATAATATTTAATTCTTTCTCACCAATAGGAGACATTAGAATTAAGTGTTTAGGACAGAGAAATAATATTTTATTAAATGTATTGAATATTTTAATAATATAGTTAATGGTGGAATTGTTAAAATAAAGTAGTTGTTGGAGTTGAATGTAATTTTTTAGAAATTTTAACTTTTGATATTCTGTTTTAGAAAAATTAGAGCATCTCCAACAGCTATACTATATTTTCTCTAAAATAGAATATTAGAAGTCAAAATCTCTAAAAAAAATCGCATCCAACTCCAACAGCTACTCCATTTTAGCAATTCTAAAATTAACTATATTATTAAAACATTCAATACATTTAATAAAATTTTATTCTTCTCTCCTAAACATTTATGTTCAATACTTCTTATTGGTGGGAAAGTATAAAGTAATAATTTCTCTCTCTATTCAGAGATTTCTCTAAATTTAGAGATTTTTTACAATCTCTCTTCTCCTTTTTTCTATTTTAGCATACAAGATAGCATAGCTTTTGGAGCAAAAAAGTTACTAAAATCCTTCTTTACTCTATTTTAGTATAGCTGTTGGAGATGCTCTTATAGCTTAGTTGTTGGAGATGCTCTAATGCACCAAATCCCATCAGAACTTCATATTTAAGAGTGTATAATCATACATTTCTAAAACTATGTGCATTTTTTATTGTGGACATTTATTTTGGGACGGAGAAAGTACCTTGCACCATTTTGATAAACCTCCTATTCGTTTATTCGTTTCACTTACAGGAGGAGGGGTTAGTGGGTAAAGGGTCTTAGCTGTTATTGTAAATAAGTGAAGGGTATTTTTGGTACTCTTGGGTAGAATAAGGCGGCAAGTGGAGTGGGGTTGTTAGTAGTGGAGAAGTCTCCTTTAAGTGGAGTGGGGTTGTTAGTAGTGGGGATATTCTGTTTCTTTGGTATTTTCATAGGGAGTGTAAACTCTTTGGGAGAGAACCAGACCTCTCGAAAGTCTGGAATCTTCTATTTTCTGTTTGATTGCAATAAACAAGCCGACAATTGAAGTCGGTTTACATCAAATTGGTATCAGAGCGGTAAGATCCAGCCATGGCRACAAGGAGTGCGGCAACAAGAATTGAAGATTTAGAAAGTAGCGTCGGTTCGATCGAGAAAAGTTTGGAGCGAATTGTACAGCAGATTGAGAAATTAAGCAGCGATGTGGCTAGTAAATTGAATTCAACAGGTTCGTCGGATGGAGAAGACGTGGACGATTCAGGAAGATCRAAGAGGAGGAACGATGAAAAACAGGAATCGAGTCGATTCTTAGCTGTGAAAGGCCGGAAACTTGAAATTCCAGCGTTTGACGGAAGCGATCCAGATGGTTGGGTTCTCAGGGCAGAACGTTATTTCTCTTTGAATCGATTATCACAAGAAGAAAAAATTGATGTTTCTTTCATAGCATTTGAAGGAGCAGCTTTGAAATGGTTTCAATGGGAGAATAGACGTCATCCAATTTTACGTTGGGAGGATCTTCGTAGATTGATTTTACGTCAATTTCGATCAATGGCGGCAGGAACTTTATGCGAACAGTTTCTGGCCGTTAAACAAGAAGGTACGGTGGAGGAATTTAAGATGAAATTCATGGAGTTAGCTGCACCGTTAGAAAGAATTCCAGAGGAAGTGTTTATGAGTCGATTCATAAACGGTTTGGAGAATTCAATTAAGGCCGAGGTACGTCTCTTAAATCCTGTAACGTTAGAGGAGGCGATGGAGTTAGCAATAAAAATCGAAGTGAAGAATGATGTGATTGCAAAAGAAACGTCGATATCTGGATCAAAGAAATCGTTAGCTATGTTAGCCGTTAATAGGAGTATCCCCGGTAGTACTAATTTAGGGAATAATTCAAATACGGTGGGTAATTCGACGAATAGAACGGGATCTGAATACAGAAGATTGTCCGATCAGGAGGTACAACAGAGGCGAGCCTTGGGTCTCTGTTATCGTTGTGATGAGAAATATTCACCGGGCCATAAGTGTAAGAAGAAGGAATTGAATGTTTTGCTGGTTCAAGAAGAAGATGTAATAGAGTCGGGTGACAGTAGTCATGAAAATACAGCTTTAAACGCAGCTGATGTGGTCGATGTGGGTCAAGACGTTGAGGTTCATCTTAACTCGGTGGTGGGATTAACGAATCCTAAAACCATGAAGATGGAAGGATTCATTGAAAACCAAAAGGTTGTAATTCTCATCGATAGCGGTGCGACACACAATTTCATTTCGAATGAGATTGTTAAAAAATTGAATCTCAAGATCGATCAGACGAAGGAGTATACGATAACGATGGGGACGGGGAATAAGGTGAGAGGAGATGGAATTTGTAGACATGTTATTTTGGCGGTGCAAAGTTTAGACGTTGTCGAGGAWTTTTTGCCCATTCAATTGGGTAATAGCGATGTGATTTTGGGTATACAGTGGTTGGAAACTTTGGGATCAACCTATACCAATTGGAARCAGCAGGTTATGAAGTTCACAGTCGGAGGAAAGTCCGTGGCATTGAAAGGTGATCCAGCATTGGGTAGATCTTTAGTTTCACTGAAGGCTATGGGAAAACTAATTCAACAGGAAGGTCAAGCGGTGTTAGTGGAGTTAGGGGCTTGTATGTTGACAAATGAAGGTCAAATGGTATGTTTGCATGGCATACCAAGTTCTATAATTTCTGATCGTGATAAAGTGTTCCAAAGTATATTTTGGAAAGAGTTATTCAAGCTTCAAGGAACAACTTTGAAGTTCAGCTCARCCTACCACCCGCAGACARATGGACAAACAGTAGTTGTCAATAGGGGGCTGGAACAATACTTACGATGTTGGATTTTAGATCAACTGTGTCGGTGGAGTAGATGGTTACCGTGGGCTGAATTGTCGTACAATACAGCTTTTCATACAACCCTTAGATGTTCTCCTTTCAAGGTGTTATATGACCGAGATCCATCCCCTTTGTTGAGATATAAGAGTTCMTCTTCTATAGTCCAATCGGTCGATATCGAATTGAAGAATCGGGTTGAAATATGGGATGAAGTGAGAATRCATCTCTTGAAAGCCCAATGTAGAATGAAGCAACGTGCCGATTTAAAAAGAACAGAGCTGGATTTGGTTTTTGGTGAGTGGGTGTTCTTGAAATTGAGACCATACCGACAGAAATCATTGATTAAAGGGAACAACCCAAAATTGTTAGCAAGGTTCTATGGCCCTTATAAAGTGTTGGAGAAGATTGGTAAAGTCGCTTATCGTTTGGATTTACCAAAGGAGGCGAAGATACATCCTGTTTTCCATGTATCTCAACTTCGAAAAGCTATGGGAAATTGTGCATCGTCGAAAGACATTCCAACTCAATTGACTGAAGAATTGGTATTACAAGTGGAACCTGAATCTTTGTTAGATACAAGAGCAATTGTGCAAGGTGATCCAGGAAGCTTAGAAGTTTTGGTTAAATGGAAAGGGTTACCAGATTTTGAAGCTACTTGGGAAAATTTAGAAGCCTTGATGCAGCAGTTTCCCAACAGTCACCTTGAGGACAAGGTGAAAGCTTTGGGGGGAGGTATTGATAAACCTCCTATTCGTTTATTCGTTTCACTTACAGGAGGAGGGGTTAGTGGGTAAAGGGTCTTAGCTGTTATTGTAAATAAGTGAAGGGTATTTTTGGTACTCTTGGGTAGAATAAGGCGGCAAGTGGAGTGGGGTTGTTAGTAGTGGAGAAGTCTCCTTTAAGTGGAGTGGGGTTGTTAGTAGTGGGGATATTCTGTTTCTTTGGTATTTTCATAGGGAGTGTAAACTCTTTGGGAGAGAACCAGACCTCTCGAAAGTCTGGAATCTTCTATTTTCTGTTTGATTGCAATAAACAAGCCGACAATTGAAGTCGGTTTACATCACATTTGTGGTTCACATATCAAGAAATGGGATATTAGGGTCACGGTCTTGAAAAGGACATCTGTTATGATGATCTTTTATGAATATGGAACGAGTTTGCTGTTGAGAGAATTTTTGAAGTATAGCAATCTCATCTATATAAATTACAATGTGAACCAGGTGGGTGTCCCTACGGACCGTGAGCAGTATATAAATCGTCTTGGAAGGACAGGACGGGAAGGCAAAGGTGGAGAAGGAATAATGTTGCTTGCACCATGGGAAGAATATTTCCTGGATGAAATTAAAGACCTCCCTCTTCGTAAATCCTCTTCACCGTATTTAGATCCAGATATAAAAGTAAAGGTTTGTTTTCCAACTAAATCTCTCATACTACTTTGAATCATTCCGTTCATAGATTAAAAAATCTGCATGCATTTCATGGTTGGATTCTAAAATTTAATCGTGATTTATGTCAGTAGAACAAGTACGGGTGTCACATTAGCTTTCATGGGATGGATAGGTGTTAGAACGATAATATACATGACATGGGGTGGTTCAAATGAGAACCGATGAACCAACTATTTCATGTATTATTCATAATGAATAACTCTGAATAATAAAAATTATTGGTGATGAATGTCGTGATAGGTATTCATGAATTATTTAGGGTTACTCATCATGGGTGACATAGGGCCTTTTACTTAAAGCTTAATGGTCTAGGCGGCTTATTCGCTCAACCATATAGGAGTGTTTCTTTACTGCTTAATCATTAAGCCATTAAGCCAAATGGCTATATGGAAGAAGCCGCAACCCCTCATTTGTCTCCATTAAGCCTCAAACAAATTAATACCAACCAAAGGGCCTTTGGCCTAGCGGTATGTGAGTCCTTGGCCTTCTAGGAGGTCAAGGGTTCAAACCTCACCAACAGTGAGGAGGGTGTGTGAGTTTATTTGTTTTACTTGCCGTATATAAATATTATATACTTCAAAAAGAAAAAAAAACAAATTAATACCAAAAATAATTTATCTAGACAAACAAATTAAACTCTCTTTCTTTGCCTCCCTCAAACCCATAGTTTCCCATCATTTGGGCAGACAAATTTATCTAGACAAACATTTTAACCCTAGGTTGGAGAAGGTTTATGTGAGACTAGGTTGTTTTCTTGAGACCTGTGAGACCACAAATGATTACTCAAACTTCACAACAAGACATTGTGAAGGTACGAAAAATACCGGGATTTCACAGCAACAACACTGAAGGTTTTGTGTTTCGCTGTAAAGGTTCGTTATTATTTATATGGTCTCACGGGTCTCACCAAAATAGTCTGGTCTCACATAATCCTATGTCACTTAACCCATATGGAAAAAAAAGAAGTAAACCTCATAATGTGGGAACCATATACTTATATATTAGCCACCATGTGCCATTAAGGGGTGGTGATTGAACGGAAACTATAAAAACTTGATGTGCAGATTGAGAATTCAATGGCGGCAATTGACCCAAGCGTGAAAGAGGCGGCATACCATGCGTGGCTCGGGTACTATAACTCGATTAGGGAAATAGGTAGAGATAAGACGACACTTGCTGAGCTAGGAACGGGGTTTTGCAAGTCGATTGGGTTAGAAAAAGTACCTGCACTCTTCAGAAAAACCGCAGTGAAGATGGGGTTAAAAGATATAGCAGGTATTCGAGTTCGAAAGTAATAATAAGTCTTCAATTTTGAAGAATTCTAATTGTGTACAGTGAGAAATGATGAAATATGAATCATTTAATTGTAGTTGTATCATATGAAGTTATTCGATGTACTCATTTCTCGAGTACGGATTATTGTCGTAGAGCATGCCTCGACGCGCTTAATAAGAGCTGCCGTAGGCCCTCGTTCTTGTTTTTTTAAATATATAATAATAGTTAGACGCATTATCATTTACAAACACGATAAATCGTATGAGTTCATAAACCAATCTTTAACTTTTTATGTATTGTTTCACATATGAAGTAACACGTATGGAAATGTGGTATCTATATCATGTTGTTTCGATATGAATTGTCCATAATTGTTCTATGTGAAAAATTTGATCTCAAGTGTTCTACATATGAAACAACACTGTATAAACACAGTATTTTCGTAAATCAATACGTGAAAATTGGTTTGTAAGTTTGTACGAATTATTGAATTTGTAAAAGATGGGTAACTTTGAGAAATTAAACTCTCAATAGTTGGGTATCGTTGGACCCTTGTTCTTGTAAAAAAGTTGTTGAAAGGGTTCTTCGCAATTCATCATAGTGAGGCTTGTTTATTAATAGCTTAATGGGATTTACAGATGATTCGATCAGTTATAAATGACTGTCTTCGTAATGCCTTAATGATATAAAAAGTGTTTTATTCAGTAAGTTTTTAAGAGGAAGCTTTATACATAAAGACAAGTTTTTTTTTCTTTCTAAATATGCTCATTTCAATTAAAAAACTTAGATATTCCATTTATAGAAAACTCTTTTACATAAAAATCTTCTTAATCTATGCATACATGTTAATCCACACACGGTTTATTCATACAGGACTTCATGGAAAACCAACCAAACAACTCTTCAATGTCTATGATGCTTTGAATATATATATACTTACATACAAGAGTGTGGTTAGGAGATGAATGAACATGTTTATAGATTTAGAGGTTCATATGAGAATAATAGTTAAAGTGAAAAGTGTAAGAAGAAATTTATACCATTGATCACTTATAATTAGTGTTGATCTAATGGTTCAGATTAAGTCCTGAAATAGCCCATGAGTCAGCGTAAAAAGGAATTTTCAGTTAATCTTTAATCATTAATCTAAAGATAAAATAACTACTATTTTTACTGGAAACCAACTCTTTCATAAATCCATATTTTTGCGTTGTCAAACCAACGTTGACTTCTAGTATGAGTCGAGTCATCGTCATTATCTAAAATTGGAAACATAAATCATGAAAGAGCTATTTTTAAGTTAATAGATAATGCATTACTCCCCTTTTTTTTGTCTTCAAACGTAAAATACAAAACAAATGATGAATATATATCGTGGATGTGGTCCATAACACAAAGTATAACTATTATTAGCTCTATTACTTCATCATATTTTTAGGCCAAGGTGCAATAAATGGCTATATTCGAATATTTTAATTTTATTAAAAACAACAGGTAAATTAATGAGTTGTTGTAAATTAATGAGTGAGTTTGAGATTAAAGATGATCAATGGTTCAAATCATTTCTTACGCTTCTTATACGATCTTTCACCTATATATTATATAGTACTAGAAGGGTACTCGCACAATGTAGCGAGATATATCTCGATTTTAATGTTTCGTTTTATTTCTTCTTTTGTCCCATTCAATATTATAATATGATTTTATGTGGTTTTAAGAAAACGATAATGTTTTTATTTTTGAATAAAATATAAATATGAAGATATCATAAAAAATAAAAATAAAAATATTGATATTAATACCAAACTAACTATTTAAAATTTCTCATTTTTTGTGTTTCCTTAATTTATTATTTTTATTTTTTGTTTAATAATATAACTTTTTGTAAAGACTAGAAGAATACTCGCGCAATGCAGCGAGACAAATCTCGATTTTAATGTTTTATTTTATCATTAAGAAAATAATAATGATTTTATTTTTAAATAAAATATAAATTAGATATCATAAAAGTTTGAAAAAAAATACACCGTATTAATATCAAATCAACTATTTAAAAGTTCTTATTTTTTTATGTAATTTCTTTTTTATTATAATTTACTTTAAACTAGTGTTTGACATCGTGCGTTGCGCGATGACGATAATTTTTTTTAAATTATTGAAG